GCTTATCACATAGGAACAGCAGTATGATTAGGTGATATTTGATTTCTGGAAGTAAAGATAAGCTTTCAACTAATTGAATTATCCGTCATTTGCTTCTACTTGACACTGCTTTGAATCAATCTTTGCAGTTTTTTTTTTCCTAACGAAAATTGTTGAAATATTTGAAAATTTGAAGAACAGTTTCATGGTTTGGAAAAAAAGGAATTTATGTAGTAGCTAAGCAGTCGTCGTATCACAATTTCTCTTTTCATTCACATTTAATACCCATTTTATTTCCTGTTTTTTCTTGTTATTCGAATACATTTGCGAATTGAAAACAATGTAAAGAAGCAAAAGATCCATGTTTTCCCGATAGGATGTATGCCAATTACTCTATCTCTCTCTCTCTCTCTCTTCATCTCTTTCTCTCTCTCTACTTTTATACTGCTATTATGATTTAAACTTTTCATTTTCTAAAAACTTTTCAAATTTAATTTCAAGAATAAAGTTTATTGCGAAGGATTAAAATTTCGCTTTCTACTTAAAAAAAAATTCCTGAATTCAACATTTAATTAAATAATATCACATTTTGTTAGTAGCATATAATGGCACATATTTTTGCGTAAATATTTTGATTGAATATGAAAGAAGGATAGAGTGGTGTAGTTTATGCCGCAGAGTTTCTTATCCTATCAGATTTTTTAATCAGGTTTGTTCGTCACGCTTGTTGCTTTAATGATCAATGTTTACAAATTCAAATATTTGGAAAAAAAAGAGAAAGAGATGATCGATCGATTGTTCATTATTCAATTCAAAAATAGTTGATAATATGCATGTGTAGAAAAACCGATGCAACAAAAAATGGCTGAAATTAAAATTCGTTAAAACATTTAAGCATTTGGCGTACATCAAATTGTGTAGTTTCGTGTGAATAAAATAGAATATCACTAATATTTGAGAAATGGGAAGATTAAATAGCAAGCATTACTATTAATTCTTTCAAGTGCTTATTGCATCAAATATGCCAATTGTTTTGTTAACTAATTAGCATACATAGAATAATGAATGGCTCGTTAATGTCTTAGTAAACAACTCCAACGTATTTTAACATAATTTTGAGATATTTCTTTACAGGCGCATATGAGATTGTTGGCTATCGGCTATCAATCCACCACTAATCTGCTAGTAAATTGCTCAATGACTCAATGAGGGTAGTGGCAGTAGAGATATGAATATTTGGAGAAAATAATATTAAACAGACGGGAAGCTTTCAAAATTTGTTGTCATCAAACTATTAGTGTAGCAAAAATTATCATTGACTTCTCAGCCGTTAACCAATTAAATTTCAATGGCAAAAATCGATGAAATTTGTATGTGTTGAATCAAATCATAATTTTATAAATTATTGGCAAAAACTAAATTGAAAATCTTGAATTTAGCATAATTAATGTTAATGAAATAATTCTGATGATAGTCTGAATATGAGTGCAATTTTTTAGATGGAAAATATGATTCTGTCAAGATGTGGAATCATTTTTTAATCAGTTATATCTGCTTTAAGTTTAGTGTCATCCGTATGATGAATTCAGTTTGGTACAGCTGTCACCAATATTTTTTCATCTATTGTTTACAGTTACCTTCAGTAGTTTTTTTTTCACCGTTTCTTTACAGCTATCACTAGTTTTCTCACCGATGGATCAACACTGGAAGCCTTTTCCGAGAGGAATTTACATTGATGATGTCATTTGTCATTAGAAGATATGTTTCAACGGATGTCTGTTCGAAATTTTGCTTTTCAGCGAAAATTATTCTTTTTTTAAAATTTCTTTCAAAATGAATTGTTATGGAAATTTTGTTTATAAAATAATTTTATCTGTATTCAATGAAATGATATAGCTTTTTCACACATGATTAGCTCAATGAATGAAATAATATGTCATTGTTCTTATAGAAATGAATGAATATATAATTCAAATAAAGGTTTTCAGTTGAAACAAATTTAGAAAAAGATTTATGCTTTCGCAAAATGATTCCTTCTGATAAAATGATAAAGGAATAATCGAAAGGAATGTTTGAATGATCAAATAGGAAAATTCGTTTTATTAAATTCCTTCTTAAAGTATTAATTAATCTTACAATTCTAGTAAAATGTTCAAAAATTCTGCATTTTTTCTTCAAATCATTTATCGCCAAAAAAAACATTTATTTATTCTTCATTTTCCCCATACTTACTATAATCGATTAATTCATACGTTGAAAATGTTAGGTTCTTAAATTTGAGATTTCAAAAATAAGCCTAAAAAAACTAAAATCTTCTTTATCATGCATTTTCTCTTTCAAATTAATTAAGTTTTAAATTATAATTTTGATCTTCATATGCCAGGTTATGATTTGAAATTGAATTATTGCTTCTTGACAGCATTTGAAACAAAATTCGAGAACATTGGAGTTTCATTTTAGAAAAAATACCTTGAATGATATGATGCCGTGAATACTTTCCAGACTATTTCTGCAAGTTATATCAAAGCTTAATCAATGTATGGCGCAGGCATCATATCATTCATCTTTCAGCAAAGTACTATAGAATTTATAAGTTAATGTTCATTTCCAAACTCTTTCATAATTTCACTATCACAGTGAATTTTACTATAAGAGAGAAGAGGAACTGAATCACACCATTAAAAACGAGCTTCGGAAATCGAAGACAACGTCTCTTTGGAATTTCCATTGTATTTGAGCCAAACAAAAATTAATTCATTCTACTTTTCCGATTTCAGTTCTGCAGACTTATTCGAATTTTTTCTCGTATGTCACCTACGGTAAATTAATTTCAACCGGTTTACTTGCACTTTAAAGAAAATAATTTTTTTACGTTATAATTCCTAGGAAAGCTTACAAATGGTACTCACAATAAATATTTGCAAGGTGTTCTTTGTATTAAAAAGATGAATAGCGCGCAGTTTTGTCGGATCTCTTTGCGATTCTTGTCAGTACCAGCCTTTCGTAGATGCGATCGTTCCAGTACATTCCAGTTCAGTGCTTATCTTTGCCGTCAAGCAAAACATTTCACGCCTTTTAAAAAAAAAGCCGAGGCAATAAAAGATAGTAACAATGACTCGTCACGAATTATTTCCGTGAGAGTGGAATTCCTTGTATGTGCTTTCATTGTAAACACGAAAAACCAATAAAACTATCTTGAAAATTGTACTGCTTTAATCTTTAGGCAGGTACGATTATTGTGGTTATAAAGACTCCTTTTTTATGCTTGATTTCCTTCGCTATAACCTGAATTTATTTTATCGAAGCTATTTCCACCGCATAAAGCTATTTTACCTATGTTATCTAATTAATGCAGCTTATAACTTCACTGCTCTTCCTAATTTCCACATTTCAAAATACGAATCACTAATTTTATTGCGAAATTACTACTCTTGAAGTTATAAGTATGGAATACTGGATTTCTAAGATTCTTCAGTCTATCTGTTGTTCGTGAGCATAAATGAGCACAAATTCGTGCTAACATTTCCTCGCAGGTATCATTAGTGTTTTATCAATATACATATAACAATGATTGTATCGATTAGCAAAGACCCATTCTAAACATTAATACTGCTACGTACAAGATCAAAAACAGATGTCGCGCTCAATCCCAACGTTGCCTAACAATTAGCTCGTTCAAACTATTTTCGATAGTTCGATGTTCATGCAATAGATTACCAACATTCGCTCTCGCTTTCAACACTTTACCGCATCCAACAATTCTCTTTTTAGGTTTCCCGGGCATACGACACTGTTTCGTTTCTAAAAGCTCTTTTTCCTGCTGTTCCGCAAACGTACCATATTTTTTAATATATTCATGTTCCATCTCCTGAAAAACTATAAGCACAACAAAATAAACATATTAGATTACTGATACTTAAATCTGTGCAACGATGGCTCACTGTTGAAAATCAAATTTGTTCTCGTAGGAACAAAATAATACCTTCTTACGCTTTAGAAGATATAATGAGCTTATCCACTTTATCAATACCTAGTCAACATCAATGATATATAATACATTTAAGTAAGATGGATTTCTTATTATTTCCAACCTAAATGGCTATAAATTAAGCATGATACTAAATGTTTCACGCAAGATGCCAAACTCAAAATCTTTCCCGATAAAATTTTTAAAAAAATAGAAAGCAATGCTTAGTAGAAATAAAATAAACTTTGGTCAGGTAAGGTGTTGCAAGGCACTTCATTACTTCATATTCCAGTTTCATTTTATCCTGTAATTGTCTGATGGCATTGCTACTAATCGGATAATCCGGTTTGCCTTTTCTAAAAGTGACAATTATTGTTCGAAAACCAAAACCATAAAAAATGAAATATATCGGAATTTTTTAGACTGACCGCCGCACCAGTCTCATAACAGCTCTGTTACATTTCGCGCTTTTCCTATGTCACCCTTCTGGATCTCATACCCTCTTACACAACTAAAAAACAGAAATACGTACATTTTCAGCTTTGGAAGAGGAGGCCCACGATATCCGATTTCCCAAACACGACGATTCCATTCCGGAATATTTAAATTCTTCCACAACCAAACTGTCAATCGCATGGTAACCGCTTCTACGTCATAGATCTTTCGTCTATACCATTCTTTAGCTTCGACCCTTGAAAATTAACTTCACAAACACTTTCACTGGAACCCACATCTTGCACGTATCAGAAAAATGAATCACCGGATTTCTTTTCCGTTTTCACACGAAACTTTAATAGTCAGTAGTAGTTTACTAAACCAATGGAGATTACTTCAAGGAATGTAAAAATCTTACAACAATTTCATCCAAATGCTACGAGACAGACTTATAAAAGCGGTTAATCTTGACCGCCTATGAAAAGCAGTTATAGTCAGCAAGAGAGGAAAGTAAATTTCAAACTTGTTGGACCAATCTTCCTATTGATTATAGCCGAATTTTGGGATTTTCAATTCTTTCACGAGAAAACTTCAAGCAAATAACATGTTGCTCATAAAACACATAGTAAAAGTAACGAATGAGAAATAATGATGTTTCATATTTATAGCGATTATATGAATTCATCACAGTATTACGTTCACCATGTTCAAACCTTGAATTTCTAAGAGATACTTTATAATCAAAATCTACGTTTGGATGTCTAAATCACAGATTTTAACATTAGAAAGTATTCAAAAATAGAAATTACTATTCCTTAAAAAACTGTAAAAAAACCGGGGTTTTAAACAGAATTTCAGGTAAACTCATAAACTCTACGTCATTACCAATATCAAACGGACTTCGAAAACTTGACATTATTTCATCCTACTCTGTTCTGGTCAGAAAATTTGGAGAAAATGGGTAATTTTTCACCAGAAACTGCAATATACCATTTCTAATAAAAATATGCAATAAGAACCCAGCAAGTTGGTAAAAATTTACAAATAAATTCAAAAAGAAAACAAACATCCACAACCTAATGAGAATAGTGGAACTTAGACGAAAAAATAAAAATGAACTAGTTTAGATATTCAGCTTCAGTCATTAAAGATGTCGAGTTGGACCAGCACTACCGATACGAACCGGACGCCTCAATTCGTTCAGTAATAACCGAATACCCTGAGCCCAACTAGTTCGAGCTTCGATTGGAAACGATGTTTGTAATTGATCAAAAAATTGATATGCTTCATCAAATAATCCACGATCCAGTGCTGCAATGCAATTTTTTAGATCTAATTATGAATTAAAAATTGTGTATAAAGGTCGATGAAAAATATGACAAATAAATATATATCGAAATTTAATTTGTACTCGACTAATTCATCAATTCATTCATAACTCGTAAAATCTGAATAACAGATAACGATTACTTCGTGCTTTAGGAAGGAATCAGGCCAATAGAATTTAAGATATTTAAGCATCATAAAAACTTGACTTTACCATCAACAACAAAATTCAGTTTCTTGATGCAATTATCTGTTACTTGCCCTGCACCTACTGATTCGCTCAGATGATTTATGCGCAGCTGAATTCCGTCTCTAGTTACTCCCTAAAAAGCATATATCTTTCATTGCACATTTGAACAAATAACAAAAGTCTGCAGAAGAATTTCCATAATTGGCCTTAAAATGGCTTTGACAGGACTTAGAGATCTCTATTTTACTCAATAGCTTTAAATGAATTTTCCTATAAGGAAGTCTACTTCTTGCTTTTCATTCTATATTATATTCACGGAAAGGAAAAAACTCCAACTAAGTAAAGAAGTAAGACACGTCATGTAATAAGCCAAATAAAGAAAAAGTTACGGCTGGCAGTCTATATGTGGCTTTGATCAAAAACTTGACAAGCTGAACACCACTCAAAGACACATCACCAGCAGCCTTTACGAGTGCTACATAATCAGTTGGATATGGCGATGTAGCAGGCCTTCTACTATTTTCATTTATCATCTGAAAATATAAAGAAAAGTTGGATAAAATCACAAATAAGTTCTAATTTTTTCCTTAGTAAAGTTCTAATTTCTTCTATAACCTGAATTCACAATTTCGGAACAGTCAACTCCTTGTAAGCTTTTACAAACATTGAGCGAATGTGATTTTTAACTTACGTTGGGTGGAATATAAATTAAAGCATTCGGATTTCTTTCGATTGGAGGCGCGACATGAACATCCATCGAAGTAGATAAATTCGAGTCAAAGGATTTCTGAAACACAGTTGATGAGTGAGAATCTAAGATTACTTCGGTGACACTAAGACGATTGCAAAACCCTATAACGTCAGTGATTAAAAAATCTCTCGTAAAATAATCGAACTTCGATAAGCTTTCAGTATAACTGACTATAATATCGCTTATGCTAGTTCCTTTCAATCTTTGCAAAGTCATGAATAATTATAAATATCGACATGTACGAAATAATTCTTTAATTTAATGAATTAAAATAGTTTTTAATTTAATAAATTTATTGGCGATATTATACAAAAACAATGGGTACATCAACAGTTACCTGAAAACAACTCTCGGGAAGCTTTTCTGAAGATGCATCATATGTTAAACTTGTTGATTTCGGTAGCGTCCGCTGCTGATGATCTGCAATATATGAATTGGTTTACTCAATAAAATTGCTTTCAATTCCATAATTTACATAAAATAATGTTTCAAATGAAATGAGATTGAAAAGGAATATATTTAAAAAGTCAGTGGGAAAAATTGGTGCAAAATATATCAAACTTGCCAGCTGGGACAATGAATGCATCAAAAATCGAACGATGCTGCTGTTGCTGCTGCAAAGATGAAGATTTCTTTAACGATTGATCCCTCGTTCTGTCTGTGGGTGAGGAATTAGAATATGAGACAAATGAATCCATTGTAGCATAATTTGGCACTGGGATTGGAAAGATTGACTGTGCAGCAGCTCTGCAGACTGTAGTCCCTTGACCTGAGGTTACAACTGGAGTCTGGGTTGGAACTAGGGTTGGATTTGGGGTTAGCGGCGAGAAAACTGGGTGTGCCGAATTAGTGTATGCTGGCGAAATATTGGAAGCCTGAAATTACATCAAAACATAACAATTTCCTTAACAGAAAGAAAAACTGCTTGTAAAACGATGCGCTTCTACCTAGTTTTGAAATTTTCAACTGGTTTTAGATATCCGTCACCTAAATACAAAGGAACTGAAATTTCAAAATGTCGGAACCTAGAGAAGAAGTCAGATTTTAATGCAAAGAAGTCAGATTTTTATGTAGATTTTAATGCTATGGATTATTTCATCAAAAGTTGAAATCGTTCAACTAATCATGAGTCATTTGAAATTAGAAAACAATTAGGAATTAGAAAAATCGACATCAAATACTAATCACAATGTCTTTCTTAGAAGGCATTTTTTGTTAAAATATGAAGTAATCATTCTCTCATCTCACTATAAAGCCAGTTGATAAGAGGACAAAATTATTATTCACTTATTTCAACATGAAAGAAGTATCGGCAAATTTGTTAAGTTAGGCCGTACAAAAATAAGTACTCGCAACTTACTTCCTGTAAATGGTTTGAAATTTTGAACTGAAGGAACTGCATGGATGAGAAAAAGAACGAGTTAGAAGAGTGGAACACTTATGAAGTGATATGAGTGTATATTCCGAACAAATAATTTTCGTTCTAAATTTGAAGAAACCGAAAATAATACTTGAATGGAAGGATGCACGGGCCGTCGATGTCTATTGGTCAAAGCACCAGTGCTCGGTGATGAAGATGTCGTCATGGAGTCAAGCACTGGAGGTGGATCGTTCCAACCAGGAGTTGAGCATGATGATAGTGGCAATAAATAGGACATCAGACAGATCTCTTACAACCTAAAAGTAATAACTATTCATTGTTACAATGTTAGAAAAAAGAAAAAACTACACTATATTCAGAAATTTTCTAGATCCAGTCTCAGGAACAAATGGAATTGATTAAAGTGATAACGTCTTCATCAGAATTTTTAAAAACTATGTTAAAAAAGAAAGCATAGGTAGAGCCATTAATACAGACGTTATCATTTTAACTGATTGATTTTTTATTTCTGGTATCTGTCTTAATAATCTATTTGTTTATCTCAATGTTATCTAAATAAGCTAATCAACTATCAAGATTAGCTTACCTTATTCGTCATATGTGAGAAGACTTCAGCCTAATTTCTACATGAATTTAACTCAAATTTTAGTTAAATTCTCTCTCAACTCCATTCAGATCTCTTAATTGTGTGGTAACACTCCATCTTCTACCACATCTCAGAAAAAGTAAAACAAATTCATCAAACATAAGAAAACTTACCTCCCACTCAAGCAAACGCCTATTGTTTGATGAGAACTTCACGCAGCCTAAAAATTGTCTTACTATGAAAATGTGATAGTTAGATGTATGAAGGTCCCATTAGATGCAGTAGATGGAATTATTATAATAGGAAGGAAGAAGTAGATTCATTGTTGACTTTGAATAAGAAGCTGTATAATCAGGTGGTGGCCACGCTAGGAAGAAAGAAAGAAAAACAGTAGGCTTGAAAGAGCTATGATAATATCCGCCTGCCTATTTCATACGAGAGAAATTAGCATCTGTGAAGCATAGAAAAATCAATTTGCACTTACACTTTTTAAACTGAAAATTTTCTCTGGAAGATAAAAATAATACTTTAGTAGGGAAAATATAGAGGAATGATGAGTAATTATTGAGAATGGCATTCTACTGTAGAAATTAAAATGATCAAAAATTTAAATATTCAATATTCAACTTCATTCTTTCTCTTTTTTTCGAAGGGGATAAAACAAAAGAAACTGCATTAACAAGCTCGAAATTAATTTCATATTAGAATAAATGAGAAAAAAATCCAGTGTAAAGCGGATATTATCTAACGAGATACGATGTTCAATAATCTATTCTTCTGCATGTAACATACTTCACCTGACTTCATTATCGTAATATCCCTTATTGTTTCTGAACATAACTATTCTGAACTTATCATCTCTTGATCCTATTCCTAAACTTTCGTCAAGTTCATTCATCCCACTTGACCCTTCATTTCACGACATTCAATGAAGTAATCTAAAATTTGAAATTAAGAAAAGAACTTGCGATCATATTTCAGTAGAGTGAAAGAAAAAATATAACTAAATAAAATCAGTTTGCGCCTGTTATGGAGCAGTTGTTTGCGCTGCTAACTCCTTGAATCCATAGGTATATACTAGTGTATGCGGGGGTCTGTGTATGTGTATGTGGGTGTGTGTGAGGGTGGATGGTGTATCATTGTTGATATCCTTGTCCTCCTTATCACCTAGGTTACCTGCTCAAGAGACTGAACAAAATTGAGTTACTCCACACAGAAACTGCCTATAAGCGCAAAAGAATCGGTAACCAATCTAAGTAATATATCATACAGTGTATACACATGTATATATATGTGCGTGTGTGTGTCTGTCTGCAAAGATATAACATAGCTGAAGGAATTATTCGTGCAAAAAAGGCCATCAACTATCGAGTAATTGAAGTATTCAGTTTTTCCCAATTGTCATCAATTATTGAGTGATTGTATAATGTTATTCCATTATAGCAATATCGACGACATTAAATTAATTCATTTTGATATGTTGCGAAAGTATTCAGGAAGGTGTAACAGCTGCTTCTATAAAGTCATAAAATTAAACTTTATTTTTTAATGATATAAAATCCGAAACGCATGACTTTTCAGTGGCAATAATATAAGCAAAAAAATCTGTTTGATATTTTTAAATTTTATAAACAAATAAACGAAAATCGATTTAATTCTCATTTTTGTTATTTTCTCAATTACCCTTTGACCCATTAATTGCAGCTGTTAATTTGTCTGATCATTAAGGTTCTTCGAAAAATAGGTTCAGTTTTGTGACTTTGTAGAAAAAAATTGTAAATATTGTCATGTCTTCCTGAATGCTTTGCTTTCGCAATACATCAAAATGAATTGATTTCATGTGAACATTGCTATAATGGAGTAACATTATACAAATTATTCAATAATAATAATAATAGCATAAATTTTGAGTAGCATATAAAATAGGTAAAAAAGTAGCCAGGTGTAAAAGTTAGTTTGATTGCATTCCAGAAAGAATGTAATCAAACTAACTTTTACACCTTCAGACCCATTTATTTAAAGGGATTGGGAAAGTAAGAAAGGAAAATATTTTGAGTGGCTTATCTATCTTGTTTGATCAATCTTGTTCTGAAATCTTTATTTTCGGAGATTTATTGCTAAATTCCATATTTTATTTGATCTCACGGAATGAAAAAAATATTCTGTCGCAGTGAAAATTAAATGTGAAATGAAATGTTATCATTGCACTTCAATTCATTTATCTATACGTACTTCCGAATTAAGTCATCCGGACATGTTATCGAGTAAGACCGATTTTCAGGAAATCATTCCTCACATTTACAATTTATCACTTTATATGGAACTTAACTTTTTTATTTTTAAAATTCAAATTGAATTACTTCTTATTTTCATCGTTGCAAAATTATAAGAAATGAAGAAAATACGTAATGAGCACGAATATTCAAATTCGTATAATTCTATGCAATTCAGAAGAGAGGGAGAGAGAGAAGAGAAGAGATCTTAAAATCAGAAAGAAATGTTACCTTCCCATTTCACATATATCTTTCCACCTTTGACTTCAAATTAAACTAATTCAACATATCGCAAAAAAACTTATAACTTTGTTGAGCAAAAATTTTCCGCTAGAAAATTTAAAACTAACAAAAAAGAAAAATTGGAAATGTATGATTAAAAGAAAGCATCTCTTTGCATTTTTATTCCTTGAGGGTAACAAAAAGTGTAGACCCTTCTGTTCTGATCGATCTTATTCATCCAATATCATCTCTCCATCATTTACAATGTTAATGATTCAGAACACTGATCGCATTCTAAATTAAGGAAAAGTAAAATATACTCTAAGAAGCATCGCTTTTGTAATAATTATTGAGTTTCAAAAAGTTAAAATTATTCGCACTAGTAATTATATCATTATTAATTAACATTATTCCTGAACAAAAATTGTATAAGTCAAAAGTTTGAATGGAAACCTTATATATATATATATAATTCATTGCTGCCAAAAATGGGAATTATATCATAGCACTGATAAAAACAGTAATGATAATAAATATAAGAATAGTCGTTAAACGACTATAAATAATATTGGTCACTTACCATAGCAGTGAAAAGCTTCAATGGTATAAAAAGAAAAAACAACGAGCTACCCATGTCATTTCATGACAGATTAAGATTTGTGCAAAATTATCTCAATTAACCGAATTCGTAATTTGGTAAATCGCGATAACTTTGCACCGAGCCTCATATAGTGAATGATTTAAGAGACTGGCAGTAAGTATTAATAAATGAAGTGTACAAGTCAATAATGATTATTGTTTAACAAATATCATAAACAGCATATAGGATGAGGATGAAAATACAATGTAAGAAGAAGTAAAAATAAAAGTAAACCCGTATTTCGAGAATGGGCTTGAATAACCCTTCAATGACACTTGCAATGATTTTTGAATGGAGTGAAACGTGACAATTTCTAAACATATCACATTGGTAAGTGTTACTATTGCTGAAATCTAAAATTTCAAAATTTTTTAAATTCTAATCAATTCCTGAATAGTAATGAGAAGAGCAGATGAAAATGAAGTGAAAAGACAGCATTACTACAGTTAGTCTAATTTTACGAAAAAATTTTCAACTTCCAATCTTTTCAAACAAACCTACAATTTTTGCCCTTTAATACATGTGGTAAATTTGATCGATTTAAGTGGCATTATGCAAAATAATATTACCACCACAACAGAATACCGCCACAAAACTCGTATTTGCAGTTAAAAAGAAAAATTCAGAATACATTTCAAAAAGTTTATAAGTGACAACAAAATAGACTATTAAAGGACAGCCATTGTTTGATGTACATTTGAGGATGTGGACGTGTTCACCGTTCGATCATTATCACTATCATCAATGTTACTGAAATCTTCAAATCTTTCCAACCGATGCGTCAATTCTGAAGTCGACTGCGATTTCTAAAACTACAACATATTTTAATTTTTAAGATTGAAAATCTTAAAACTTTAGTATCAAATTTTAGTTTCAATAGAACGGAGAATAGAATGGTCTTCCTCAACATTATTTGCTAAAGCGTTAATAAAAATTTAATGGCAACACTAATCAGTCGCTTGAATGTTAAAATCTTCTTTTTCGAATTACTAAGACAATATTGGAATCGAAAGTAAATGTTAAAATTGTATTAAATTCTGTGAAATATACCTTAACTACTTTACAAGATTTTTTGTCAATGTTAGTAACATCAATAGCCGGCTCATCATAAACACGATTCGAAGCAATACTACTACCAGCAATAGTCTTATTACTCTTTCGTCTAATATTATGTGCTGGCGGAGGTGGTGGCTTTCTATGTTGTGAAGGTTTCAATTCATCCGGATATGAGAAATCAGGACTGTCCACTCCTTAAATATAAAAATAAAAATTATATAAAATATAACTGAAAGAAACAATATCACTATCAATGTATTTTTGAAACAAAAGAATAGAGAAAGAAAGTAACCATCGCTATCACTTGTCTCCAACAATGGTTTTCGTTGACTTTCTGAACTTTGTGTTATCACTCGGCGATGTACCGGTCGCATTGTCATATAATCATCATCCTCTTGCATATTTGATGAAGAATCTAGAAAACAGAATAAGCTGTAGAAATTAAAAATTGCAATGAAATATATCGAATCAATTCATCTCAGTTTAATTTCAATAGGATTAATTTACATGCAAGATGCATGCAGAAATTGATAACTTTCTAACAAAAATCAACCGTTTG